TCTATATGATCTATAGCAGATCACTTAGATCACTTAGATCACCTCATCACGTGACCCGGGGTCGTGTCTCCAACTTAAGCACTTATGCAACATAGTGGCAGGGAGTCTCCTTCAGTCAGGCCTGTTCTGCGACCGTGGGAACGGCAGGTTCATAACAGGCAGAACGTAATAAGAGCGTTATTTAGAGTGGTTGTTCTCAATTTCCTCGATGTTGAGTTGCTCATGTTAAAGGTTGTAGAAATGCCCAAGGGATTGCATATTGGTTCCGTCTCTCGAGACAGCTCAGATGGGGAAAGCGCTAGCAAAGGTGTTGCAAGGGGAATCATGGCAGTGAATATGGGCGGACCGGTCAGTGGCGAGTTCTGGCCCAAGCTGGATAGTAAGGCATCATATCGGTCGGTCCCCGGTGGACGCGTCGCTAGCCCCTGAGCTACCTTCCAAACGAAACAGAATATTTACACTTTAAAGATTCACTAAATTTCGATGTAGTGTATGGGAAAGCCAGGGAAGATAACCATTTGGCTGCTGTAAAGTATTGTTTTTAGTTGAACATTGTTCCTGGTTAAACTTACTCCGAACGGCTGAGAACCTTGACATTGTTATCAATTGAGGCTATGGGTTGGCCATTTCCAAACAATATAAATGCTAGCAGCTATCCTTCGAAGGGACCAGCTCTGGGCGTTAATATATAAGCCTCTAACATCCTCCGTGTGTTTGGTAGCAAAACTCGGTCATGGATGCTTCTCTTCTAATTATCCTAAATATAACCCTGTACTGCATACTTTATATGTCTCCACCTACGTTTAATATACCTTCATCGCATCACTCTAGCTGTAGAGAACAACAGCAGCTAGGGCGGCAGGTTGGCTGTTCACAGCATCTCTGACGACACATGGGGCAATCTCGAGATCCATGCTCTCGTAGGGATAGTAAGCACTCCTTACAGAAGAGATGTCCTATCGGTGTGTTAAAAGAGAACAGGTAGGGTATAAATGTAGTAGAAGTTACGTATTACATTTTCGCAGTCTTGTTGGCTTTTGCAACATATCCAGACAAATGCTACAAGGGTTATATATGCTGTGAATTTTAATTGATTTCTGGTATACAGAGAAGACGTGCCCGGGAACCCTATAATGCGCTATATTTTGTACAGGAAAACAATCTTCACAGGTAACCTATGCATATAGTTAGTCAAAGAATTAAGATTTCGTAATAAGAACTTATACATCCGCACCTGCTGTATGCTGTAGCCCGCGATTCTTCAATGGGCCTGTTGCAGACGAGACAAGATGGCTTGCACAGCTGAGGTGAGATTCTATGTTTGTGTATCCACTGGGCTATGTCATTGGTTTCGCGTAGTATGCGAGAAAAAGTACCCTGAAGCGCCGAATCGAGTTGGCGGGCGGCCCGGCTCACGGTCTCCTGGTACGCTTTGCAGTCATTCTCCATCTCTTGGAGGATGGTCCGGACAATTCCGGGGTGATCAGTAAGCTCAAAGGCTCTGTGAAAAAGCAGGCCATTTGGCTCAACCTTTTTAAATTCCTGAGACACGACCCGATCAATTAATTCCTTAATCGCGCTCTCAGAAGAGGCGTGGTTGGGCGAACTGTTTGACATCTGCAACAGTGTTCAGAGGACGAAGATGTGGTCGTGAGTCTACGAAGGTGTGAATGTATGGGAGAGAGACGCGGTATTTATATGCTTTCTCGGTAAGGCTATTAAAGGGGAGCTTAGACTTTACCTCTATTTGGCTGTTGGACATGGTACACCTAGTAATATTACACCTCGGGCGGAATGACACTCCTAGTCTTGCCCTGTCTCAGGGAGCGCTCGATTTCTTCGCTGGCTGCAGTATAATGCTGCCTATATGTAGTTGCCTGATTATTTTCATCTGATAAGGGAATTGCCGTATCGTGGCCGAGGCTATGTTTTACTACTTACAGTTTAGTTGCTCCTAAGCAAAGGCGTCACGATAGCGAAGAAAACAGTGTCCCTTATGAGACGCGTACTGTCTCTCTTGGTCAGCCCTGACCTTCTGCGCAGGAACTCTGTCCTCCATTTAGCTTTTTCGTACCTTGGGAAGACTTCCTTTTAGAGACAAACGGCGATATCACCGATATATGATCAACCTATAAAGCTTCTCTCTCAGTCGGCAACTCCGTTTCTACGTCTACATCTCCCTCTTTAGCGAATCTGCCGAAGACGCACGCAAAGACGCAAAGCTCCGGGCCAGCCAGTCGGAAGGTGACGATACGGTCGACGTAGAATCCCCCCCTCGACGAAGGTGGCTATGACTTGTCATGTGGTTCTGACACTTACACAAGAAGAGCCATAACTGCACCCGCTATACATTTAGGGGTTTTCTTTATACGTACTATAGGGAAAGTGAAAATCATCTAACAAGGGCAGGTGTTCCGGGGCCACATAGGACTCAGTGCAAGGCGACAAAAGCAACGTGACGGGTTCTTTATATAGCGAGGAGATCTTATATATCTGGCTACTCCTTAACCTGAGTTTCTCTACTATTAACTCCCAATATTAAACTATTATCTCTAAGCCTAGGCTTATCACTTATACTTTTATATTTTCCTTTATATTTTACGTATCATTATAAAAAAGCCTTAAAATCCTTATATAATAATACCTTTAAAGATTTATTAATTCTTAATTAATATATAAAATACTATTTAAGGATTAATTAAGCTTTAAGTAAGTTATTTAAAATTTATAATTTAAATTCCGGTATATAAGATTAATCTTATATATTATATACTTTAAAAGATTTAATTTATATTAATCCTTTAACTTATATAGATGTATTAAGTTTTATATATTATTAAGGTTTAAAAGTTAAGCCTTTTTAAAGCTAAAAACTTAATAATAAGCTATAAAACTATAAATCCTTAACATTAAGCAATTTATATTTAAAGGCTATAAAATAACTTTAATTATTACATTAATTTATATTTAATTACTTTAATTATAAGCTTAATTATAAAGCCTTTAATATTTATAAATCTTAAACTTTAAATTTAAATATAAATAGGTTAAAATAAAATTATTTCTTTTTATAAGGTATAAAGGCTTATTTTAAAGTTCCCTTTAATATATATTAATTATAATATAATATATATTAAAGAATAATTATATATTAAAAATACCTTTTAAAAGTTTTTAAATTAATTAATTATTTATATAATATTTTTATATATTTAAAAAATTTTAATAAAGTATTATATTCTTTTAATACCTTTATAAATTTAATAAACTTTAAATTATAATAAGCTATACTATTATTAACTTTAAAGTTTTTATTATTATAAATAATATTATATTAAATAAAATAGATAAAAAGATTAAAATCTTACCTTTTAAATATAAAATAATAATAATAAATCCTATAATAATATATTATATTACTTAAAAGGTTAAAAGTAAGGATAGTTTTTTTATAGCTTTATTATAAATCTTTAAAGGCTTAAATGCTATTAAGATATATAAATAATAATAAAATACTATAATAATAATTAAGGACTAATATATAAATTGTATTTTAAGAATTATCTTTAATTAATAAGCTACCTTTTACTTTATAAATCTTAGCTTAATAAGTTATATTTATAATTAAATATTAAATCTTTTATACCTTTATAAAAAGAACACTGCTTTAAAGGCTATTTATATATTAATAAATAATTAACTTATAATTATAATTAAAGCTATATTAAAATATAATTAAAATGTTTAATATAAATAATTCATTTATATTCTTAACCTACTTACCCTTCCTTTATTTTATCCTAAATTAAATATTAATATATAGTTAGCCTTAATAACCTTTAAAGTTAAAAGGTTTATAAGAATTATTTAATTAAAATTAAGCTTTATAAAAACTGCTATATAAATATATAACCCAGGCTATAAAATTAAAAATAAAGTAAAGTCTTTATTTTACCTTAATAAGTAGAACTTAAATTCACTTAGCTTTAATATAGGCTATATTGATTTATAAAAGTTTAAGTCTTATATTTAACTATATTATTATTAATTTAACGCATACTTAAAGAAAAGGACTATGCTTACTACTAGGCCATTATAATATAACGTTAAGGGGAGAGATATAAAGGCTAACTATATAGTTTTAATAAGCTTTCTTTTTAATCTCCCTTACCTTTGCTATAATTATAGCTATAACCTAAGCTATTATAGGGCAGGTTTAACATTTTAACCCCTATTACCCCTATTACTACTACCTCTTTTACATTATATTCCCCTTATTAATTAATGCTATTATTATATTATAATAGTTATATTTTAAAAATATACTTTTATATTAAGATTTATTTATAATAATAATTATAATAATAAAATAAAATAAAATTAAACTTAATTATATTTAAAGTACTCTTAATAATTTTAAAATTACTTCTTAAGATTCTACTTCTAAGGAAAGCAACGTTGGTCCTAATTAGGAAGCAACAATGTAAACTATTATAGGTGTTAAAACCCCACCATATAGCAATAAGCTTAGGAGGAGGGGGCGGGGTCCTTCCTTAAAACCTATTTAACCGTTTACCTTTACCCCATGTTCCCGGAAACAGCTTTACTAATGATAGGCAGCTAAAGCACATACCCCCTAGTAAGGCCCGGGTAGTCTACAGTCTTGGCGCTAAAACCACCGGCCTAGGGCAGCCCAAAACCAGCGAGAATAGTACCGCGGGACAGAACAGTGTCTGTCTCATAGCTATAAATGTGCGCCGTATAGGTGACCTGGAATAGTATTAGGCCTTTTTCATTATAGTAAACTAGTTATAATTTTGCTATATTAAGAATTTAATAGCTGCTAGCTTTATAATATACCCTCCCCTTCCCTTTTAATATAACTTTAAAGACTTTATATTTTAAAAATGCTTAAATATAGGTTTTAAGGTAAGCTTATTTTAAAAAGAATAATCCTCTATTTATATTACAATATATAGCTTATACTTTATCCTTTTCTATAAGGAGTATAGGATCTTATTAGGTAATAAAGATATAATGCTGCTAGCAGGGCTCCCATCGCGTATATCAGCAACGCCCTCTCTAATGGTCCGGCCAGGTAACGAGAAATTAGATCCTAAGCATGTTTCTTGTTCTCACTGGGCTTACTTGTCTTTGCATCGTGAGCCCTGTGAGTAGTCACGTGGCCTAGCCCCTCCCGGCTGTGGTCTGCTTCCTTGTCCGACCCTAATCCTTTATTGGGTCGTTCCTTGGACACTTGGTCTGTCCTTGGGCCGGCTGTTGGTTGCCTTATAAAGATAGGACGCTGAAACTTAGGTGCTTTAGGTACCTCGGACTGCAATATCTCCCATTCTATCTTCCGCAGCTTTAACTGGAGGTCGTTACCGAGCTTGGCCTCGCCCGTATTGGTTGGGGCCTCGGCTTCATGACCAACATGCAGTATGCAAGGTTTCTATTTAGGTTAACTTTCTAAGCTTCCAGTCATTTAGATTAGCTAGAGAGGCCTTACAATACTATCTCTAACAGGCGGGAAGTTCTCGTCCAGCTCTTTCTGGAATATCTTATAGTCCCCATTTGTCTTATCTTGGACAATCAAAGCAACCCTAAGGTTATATCGGTCGGCATAGTCCATAATCATACTTTATAATGAATTAGCCTGCATTTTGCGCCTAAGTTTGGGTGGGTCGCTCATTTTGGCTGTGCTTTTGACGTTTAAAAGGGAGTAGGGTGTTGTGAGAAGTGCTTGGAATGTCTGAGGGAACTATGAGGTCTGTTCTCTTATCTTGCTCCGCGACGGTGACTCCCTTTTTATAGCTATTCTACCCCTATATTCCTTTGTGTTCGGCATCCACTTCAAATTGTGCCTAGTTGCTTTGCCTGAATGTTGGCCTTTACCATGCAGGGAGGAGATTTTATAAACCGTTCTTTGTCCAATCGCTGTTACTACTAAGGGAACATGGTTTGAAAATCAAGGGCTGCGGACGTATAGCCGCTTGATTTGTTAAACGTACGTAATAATATATAGCTAAGTTGACTATGCTGTATTAGTTTAATTTATTAACAATCTAGCAACCCGTAATACGCCTCTTTTCCCGTCCGAGCTAGCCCCGCTCCGTGTAGTCACACCTTTGGCGCGTATGGCGATGGGCTGGGTGGCTTGGACTCCGGGCCCGGCACCCATTTATAGTTACCCACCCTAACGCATATCCTATTAAGGGCTTAATGCTAGAAATACGGCCAATAATCCTATATTGGATTTCTTTTACAGGAGCACTTATCTTATAGCTATGTATAGTTCTTCGGCGGATTCCGTTGCTCCTTCAAATATACATTTATTCACCACCCCTCCCTCAGTCCCCATAGCACAGCATCATTAACAACCTATATCGTTATCTAACCCTCTTTTTAAAGGAAAGGCTCTTTTCCCACTATAACACTACCCTAAGGAGGCGCGTCACGCGCAACAATATACTATTCGTTAAGGGTAAATGCTGTTCATATAAAGTGGAATATACCTCCCTCTACCGAAGAGACTAATAGGTCTAATAGGTTTTTACTATCATTTTTTGATGAGCATAGGGTTGCCCACTTTACAGAAGTGGAATGTTTTAACGAGCTATGCGAAAGCTCCCCTTCAGCCGTATATAGCCGACCACCTACAACGTAGACCATCACAAGGTCTATCTTCTCCGGGGAGCCATACCCATCTTGCAGCAATACACACAGATGAAATAATGCCCAAATCCATGGCGACATAGTCTACTAGCTCCCAAAACCTCTTTTCACTATACTAGGAACGCGATAATAAAGAGCCATCTATAAAAGTATATAAGAGGCCATTTAACTAACAAGGAACGACCAGGTTCCACCCCTATGAACTAAAGGCAATAGTTAATGTACCATTAATAAGGTAGTTTAGGAAAAGGGGGGCAGGAATCTTCTACCCACCAAGATTTATCCTCTGTGGAGAGAGAAAAGCTATGTAGCGTACCACCCGAAACGCAGTACACATATAGGCTTACCCGTATTAATATAGCTGCTAGGCCGGACACGGATGAGTCGTTAAGCATAGCTGTGTTGGGAAGTAGCTGGCCCTCAGACCAAGGCTTGGAGACATGGTCGTTTCTCATCGTCTGCCATGTTTCCAATCGATGGGCCGGCCGTTTTCGACGAAGCTGATAAGCTATCCTTCCTTTCGAACGCTATATAGACAAGTCGAGATGCGCATCCGGCAAAGGCTAGGGACTATGGTATAGGTGTCCAGGCAATAGGGCAGCTACCGTTTATTAAGGTGGAACGTAGTGCGGACTTTACAAACAACCTACACCCAGACTTCTTCCCACAGATGTTTCCGACGCTTTTCCCATAGGGCAAAGGCGGCCCTAAAATAATAACTAATCTGAATTACTATCTATATAACTCTATAAAGCCCACCTGCAACCACTCGCTCACCTCTTAAGCTAAATATATATTGTAACAATATAGCGAACGATTTATAACCTATCTGGTTTTTTATTTCTTAATATTTAACATCCTATTAAAATCCTTTAACCGTTACATTAATATAATCTATATATTAAAGCGCTTTTTTAATAAGGTAAAATAGGTTTATATAAATTTAACATTAAACTAATTAAATAAATTAAAAAAAAAATACAAGGGATAAAATTTATAACTAATTTAAATATAATACTTTTACTTTATAAGCTATTTATTTTTAATTATATATAATTACTTTTTAATAAAAATTAACTATTAATATAAAGGAAAATATAAATACTTTATATTTAAATAAAAATATTTATTATATAATTTATAATTAACTTTAATAATATTAATAACTTTATAAAAATAAAACTCTTTACTTATAAACTTTATAACTATAATAAGGTTAAAGAGCTTTTAATTAATTTATTAAAGAAATATAATAAGATTACTTTTAATATTATAAATTTAATTAGTTCTATTATCTTTTTTTATTAAAAAGTCTTTTTATTTTTTAATAAATATATTAAAATAAGTTAAAAATTAATATTTAAAAAAATTAACCATTATTATATAATAATAAAAATAAATAACTATAATAGTTTATATTTATATAAACTCCTTTAACTTAATAGGAATATATAATTATTATTTTTAATTAATAATATAATTAACCTTAATAAAAAAGAATACTATATTAATATAATCCGTTATATAAACTTTATCTTTTATAAATATTTAAATAAAAAAGTTAAAAAAGTAATATAGTAAAATAAAAAGCTAATTTATTTAATTAAGGAAATAATAAATAATATTAACGCTTTTATATTAATCTTTAAAAATAAAGCTAATTATATTATATACTATTATTAAATTTATTTTTATACCTATATATATATTAAGTACTCCTTAAAGGCGTTTACTTAAAAAGGGTTAAACCGATATAATAGGATAGTATACCAATTTAAGGCATCTTGGAAAATTGTTAAATAAACTAAATTTATAAATAATAGCTTATTTGAAATCCACCAAAACTATCCATTGGTTAACCAATATAATAAAGCAATAGCGGTTAGCCTCCGCTATAACCACAACATCTTGCTTATCTTAATTAAAATTAAAGGCCTTGCTATAGTGTTTTACATCGATTAATTAATTGATTAATGATTTTTAACGTAGGGACTGTCCCTATTTAAAGCAAACCACGCCTCCCAAAGCCATACATTGTAGGGTTGTGGAGGGTTCTATAAAATTAAACATTACATTTCAGTGCCACGCACGTGCCCATCCACGCTGTTGTGGGGTCTAGGTCTTTCCAACCTGTCCTTTTCTGCCTCTTTTATTTATTATCTCGGGCATATCCTTTTAAAGAAGTTGGTCTTCTCCATAAACCTCGCCCATTCCACGCTCTCCTCCCCTAGAAATGTTGAGGAAGCTGCCCTCGGTGTCCTTGTAGGTAGCAGCCTGTTCCCTCGCAGTCGTCCGTAGAAGAAGATATGCTGAGGGGCTTTTCTTTCCCCACAGCTGCAATGATTATTCGAGTTAGCGTGCTGGAAGCGTTCGTGGTATTAAGCAAAGTCACCGTGCCTGGATCGCGCTGCCAATAGCCTGTGTAGCGTTGGTCTTTTAAACAAGGCTAATGTTACGAACTTACCGTTCCCACGGTCGCAGGACGGGCCTAACAGGAGGAGGGGTCTCGGTCCTGGTTGGACTCCAACTCGCGGTCACGTGACAAGTATGGATCTTAGGATCTCTTGATCTGTTATAGATCCATAGATCCAACAGATCCAGGGTACACCGGTACTCTATGATGGCCTCAATCACTGTTATTTCCTATGTCTATATAATCGCATGAATTCCTGTATCTAGTCACTCGTTTAGTTCTGTTCCTCAGCTATCAACTTCTTAAGACCGCTGAGCACCAATATATTCATTACATTCAATTCCTTCCAAGACCCCTATTGATGCACAGTGGTGGGAGTACCTATAAACCTCCCTAACGGACCACCGCTGTTGTTCCTATTGTTACCTGCAAATCAAGACCCCGGACGAACCAATCATACTATAGTATAATAGGTCCGTTATAAGACAGTGTTACGAACCGATAAAGGAACGGCCTGTTGAAAAGATCCACTACTACAGAATGCCATATATTCTACAACGAAATCTAACTTAACCAATGGACACGACTATAGGTCGGCCAAGTACGTAAAAAGATTCCCTATACGTAACAGCAATTCTAAAACTAACTTAATCCTATAATTTAATTTTAGGGGGGGGCTACTTCTATAATATTAACGCTTATCTTTATTTATTACCCTTAAAGGAATAAATTAAAAAATAAAATAGTTTAAAAAGTTTTACACCCTTTTCTTTATATAACTATAATATTAATAAATATATTATATTAAGGACTTAATTTAACTTAATATATTTAAAAAGTTAAGCATTAATATAAGTATTATAAATTATATTAAAGTTTTAAAGGTTTAAATAAAAGGTAACTTATTAAATTTAAATATCTTTATTTATAAAGTATTAAATTTAAGGATAAAGCTTAAATAACTTTTAATATTATTTTATATAATTAATAATAAAATAAAGCTATTAATATTATAATTAAATCTTTTAAAGAATAGTTATTTTATTAAATGTTTTATTTAAACCTATAAAGTTAATTATATTACCCTTAAATAGATTTTTAAATAGTTAAATAATATAATTATATTATTAATTTATAATTAAATATAATTTATATAATAAGAGGTATAATAAATTATCTTTTAATAATTAAATTAAATAATAAATAAATAATTATAAATAAAGTTAAATAATATAAATAAAGCATTATAAATATATTTATTTATAAAGTAATTATAACTTACCTATAGCTTTTTATTTAATAAATTAAAGAAATTAAAATAAGGTTAAAATAATTTATTACTTTATTTTAATTAAATATAATAAATATTTAAATATATTAAATTAAGCTTAAAGAAAAAAGCTAGTTTAAATTTATAAATAATTATAAATAAAGTAAAATGCTTCTTTTATAAATAAATTAAATTTTATTTAATTCCTTTTCCTTTTAAGCTATAAAAGCTATTAATATAACTTATTATATATAAAATAAAAAGTTTTTAATTATTAATTTAAATAAAATAACTTAATTAATCTTAATAAAAAGTTTAAAGAAAAGGGTTAATAAATAAAATTTAATACTTTATATTATATTTAATATATATAAAGTATTAAATATAATTATTTAAATATTTAATATAAAAGTATATTTTTTAAAATAAATTAAATAACTTAAAAGATTAAATAAATCTTTTATAATAGTTATATATAAAAAATATTATAATATTACTTTATTATTAATATAATATTTATTTTAAAAAAGTTAAAATAATTAATTATAAATAAAGTAAAATTTTTATATTATAAAGGTTATAATATAAAAGGGGGTAATTATATTTATTTCCCCTTCTTTTTATTTTTATTTTATATTCCCTTTATTTAACTTTTAATATATTATTTTTTATTTATTTATTTTTATATTAAATAAATAATATATTATTTTTTATTTATTTATTTTTATATTAAATAAATAATATATTTAATAATTTATCCTTTCCTTTTTTTTATTTTAATTTAATTATTAAATATTTAATTCTTTAAATAGCTTTTTAAATAATATAATATATTATTATAAAATTTATTATTATTATTTTATATTTAAAAGGTAAATTTTTATTCTTTTTATTTATTTTATTTAATAAAAAACTATTTATAATAATAATAACTTTAAAATTAATAATAATATAGCTTATTATAATATAAAATTCCTTAAATATATAAAGGTATTAAAAAAGTATATTACTTTATTAAAATTTCTTAATTATATAAAAATATTATATAAATAGCTATTTAATTTAAAAACTTTTAAAGGGTATTTTTAATATATAATTATTCTTTATTATATATTATATTATAATTAATATATATTAAAGGGAACTTTAAAATAAACCCTTATACTTTATTAATATAAATAATTTTATTTTAATTTATTTATACTTAAACTTAAATTTTAAAGTTTATAATTATTAATATTAAAGGCTTTATAGTTAAATTTATAATTAAAATAATTAAATATAAATTAATATAATAGTTAAGGATATTTTATAACTTTTAAATTTAAATTATTTAATAATAAGGATTTATAATTTTATAATTTATTATTAAATCCTTAACTTTAAAAAGGCTTAACTTTTAAATTACTTTAATAATATATAAAACTTAATATATTTTTATAAATTATAAAATTAATATAAATTAAATCTTTTAAAGTATTTAACTTATAAAATTAACTTTATATATTAAAATTTAAATTATAAATTTTTAATAATTTATTTAAAACTTAATTAATTTTTTAATAATATTTTATAAATTAATTAAAAATTAATAAATCTTTAAAAGTATTATTATATAAAAATCTTAAATCTTTTTTATAATAATATATAAAATATAAAGAAAAATATAAAGAAATAAGTAATAAATTTAAACTTATAAATAATAATTTAATAGATTTTTAAGGTGGATTTATTTTATATTACTTAAAAGGTAAAAGTAATTATATTAAAAGTTTTTTTAATTTATAAATAATAATAAATAAATTAATTAAAGTTTATTTAAAATACTTTAAAGGGCTCCTCTTATTAAATAAAATAAAATTTTAATTAATAATTAATATAAATAAAAATTTTAAATAAAATTAATAATTAAAAACTTAACTTAAAGAATAATTAAATATATAAAATTTTATTATTATATATAAAATTAAACTTAAACATTTAATATTATTTTTATAAAACCTATTATATTAATCTTTAAAATTATAATATAAATATTAAATTACTTTAATTAAATTATATTTAAAGCTTTAATATTCCTTTAAAAAACCTTTTTAACTATATTATCTTTAAAGCTACCTTTTATTATTCCACTTTTTAAATATAAATAAAAAAGCTTTATTTATTAATAATAAAAGATATAAAGTAATTTAATAATATAAACCTATTTATTTATATATTATATTTCTTTATATTATAATAAATTTTATTAATATATTTATTAGCTTTTAAAGGTTATAAAATATATATAATAATATAATAAACTATTAATAATTAAAGTATTAAAAGTTTAATTATTTATTTAAAAGTAAAATAAAGCTTATAAGTTATAGGAAGCATTAATTATTAAAAGAAATAATCTTTAAAAATATATATTTTAATTATATAAATATAATCTTTATTAGGAATAGGTTTAAAATAAATTTAAAAATTATTAAACAATTAATAAAAATAATAAATAAAGGTAAAAGTAATATATAATTAATTAATTTTAAAGCTTTAAATAAAATTTATAATATTAATATTAAATATATTAAATATTATAAATATAAATTATTTAAAAGTATTTTAAATTAAGATTTAATTTAAAAGATTATTTAAATAAAAGATATATATTAATTTACCCCTTTAATTTATTTTTATAAAGGAATATAATAAGATATATATTATTTTAAATTAATTTAACTTAATTAAATTATTTATTATTAAATTATTATTATTATTTTAAAAGCTATTTAAAGTATAATATTAATTTATTACTTTAATTAAATTAAATCTTTATAATATTATATAGTAATAATAATTATAAATAAAATAATATCTTTAAAAAATAAATAATTAAGGTTTAATTTTAATATATTATTACCCATTATAACTTTATACTTTTTAAATTATAAAATATAAAGTTAAAAAAAGCTATAATATTCTTTTTATTAAAGCTTTTACTATAAAATATTAATAATTAATTAATAATTATAATAGTTAAAGTTATAATAAAGCTTTATTAAATAAGAAAAAGTTATTAAAAAGATATTTTATAAAGTTAAAAAACTTAATATATATATTTTTAAAATTAATAAGTTTATTCTTATTAATTAAAAGATTAACTGCTTTAAAAAAAAGTATAAAAAGTAGTCTTTAAATTCTTAAAAGAATAAATATTTATAAGTAAAATAAATAAGCTAAGGATAGCTATAGTTATTAATAGATATACCTATATTAAAGTATTAATAAATATTATAGAATTTATAGTTAGCATTATTATATAGCTTTATCTTTAAAGGAGGTAGGTATAAAGAAAAGAAGTTAAGGATATCTTTAAGTGACGATTGGTGGCGGTAAAGGGGCGCTGCTACTTTTTTCTCGTTCAGCTTTAAAGATCTTAGGTGGTGGGAGCTTAAAATAAGCACAAAGGATTAAAAGGTGAGCTGACGCTTAAAAAAGGGAGAAAGCAATCAATACTTATAAAAACGAGCACGCAATATATATATATATATATATTAGAGGGAGCACTAGGGTCGGCAACTTGGGTTGCTCTACATATACTTTTAGATCTGCCCTAGGTACGAACTTACAGGGCGATGCAGGTATACTAACTGGCCCAACGAGGTGCATTGCGAGGCAACAAACGGGGTCTAGCGCATTGGTGACGACGCTCTGCGCGCCAGGAGCTCCGTGTGCTTTGGCTCGAGGTAACCCCTGTCGATTCAACACGACATTACCAATAAGGTCATGTGCTAACGCGCTTTAGACGCGCCCTTTATTCCTCACCCCTCCTGCGTAAACGCTATCCGACCTTTTGCTGCATCACGTCTTGGATCCGCATTTTAAACGGAATAAAAATGGCCAAGTCTACTGGTATATCGGGCAGTGCCCAGCAGACGCAAATCGTCAAGCTCGAAGCTCTCGACGCGTCACAGTCGTATTTCTCTCAAGTTCCGAACTTTAGGCCAAACGATGACGCTGGCTTCGAGGAAGAGTTCGGCCGTTTCGCTTCATCATAGAATATAACCCCTGGCTCAAGTGCCTGGCGGCAGCAACGCATAAAGGCAATTCGCCGTAAGTCATTACTATGGTCTTATTATGTGCCAGCTACTAGTTTATAATAGATGGCGTCGTTTTTCTTATTATTCTTTCAATAGAGCTTATGCAGTTTTATGGCAATTGAGCAAGTATTTAATTTAGTTTAATATAGATGAGGTGATATTTCATTACTCGCAACAAGTCAAACCCGAGGACGATGAAGTGAGCGACAACGACAAGGTTAAGAAAGAGGACGGCGCTCCAGCCCGCCCTAGCAAAAAGAAGCGGGCACAGCAGAAGCTCTAGGTATACCAGAACATGTGCCGCGAAGTTGGCCTTGAACCGCTCGATACGATCAATGGATGCGTGGCGAATCTGAAAAGCAAGCTGGTGAATATTGTCGACTATATCGACGCTAAGCGACGCGGCAGCGCGGTTGTGGTGTGGGAGCCGGAGAAGTTTGAAGACTTCAAGCGCTACACGCTCGCCGCCGACAAGCGAATCGACCAAAAGGAGGCTAGAAGAGGGGATGGTTTCCTCGCAGCTCTGCTACAAAATCTCAGAGGCTCAAACGCTGCTAAGACGTATAAACGGCGGCGGGATGCTGCAGCGATGGCCAGGGACCAGTACACAGATCGCGTCTCAGGGGACATCTCTGGTCAGCGGGCTACAACAAAGCCGTTCGCCGTCAAGCAAGAATTATCCTTGGGTGGCATGGACAAAAGCGTTAGACGGAACTGCGAAGTGATTTCCATCCATGGGTCGGAGTCTGACTTCACATCACCCGAGCGAAACCTCAAAGAGGAGTCGGTCGCGGACGGGAGATACGAAGTCTTTTCCATTCACAATTCAGAATCTAATTTCTCATCACCTGGCCGGACCATCAGAGAGGGCATTGCCAACATGCGTGCTGCAAGCCCTGCTAGCAGCATTGCGTCTTTATTGCCTGATGAGATCCCATGCTCCTCGCAGAAAAGGGTTAAGCGTAAGCTATATGCTGCGATATAAGTGGAGGATCGTTCTCCCTAAGACGAGCTCGCCTCAAGACCTGCGTTTAAGCGTTTCCAAAATGCAAAGTCTTTCGAGTTGGATTGAGGGGGGAGGGCATATTGTAAAGCTGGCAGCCGTCGGATTCTTGATACAGCAAAATAATACCTAGTCTACTATAATAAAAAGGCCCAATACCATGCTCCTAGTTATAATTTTAATCATATATAAGCATTATTCATGTCTTATAAGGAAGGCCGCGGTTTAAAGGCTATACGTCCAAATTTGCATTCTTCCAGGTCACCCATACGGCGCACAATTATCGCCATAAGACACTACCCTGTCCCGCAGTACTATTCTTGCTGGTCTTGGCTGCCCTGGGCTAGTGGTTTTAGCGCTGAAACTGTAGGCTACCCCGGGCCTCACTAGGGTGGTTTCCTAGCACTCACCGGCCGAGGACAGTACTATCGGCTACTGCTGATATGCTAATATACCCCATACAGGGCATGTGCTTCGGCTGCCCGTCACTACTCTACCTGCTACCAACTTGGGTCCATCTCTGACACTCTCTCGCCATCTTCCCTACACTTGTCCTTCTCCAACCCGACGAGCTATTTTGGCTATGTTTCCACACAGATCATGATGGCGTCTTTAATGAAATTCCCCTTGTTTTCCAAGCTGCCGCCCGAATTGAAGATTCTTATATGGGAAATATTTATCTTGGAATACTACCGAAACCGGCTCGTTCCGATGAACAAGTTCGCCAAAAGAATGAATATACATTTGCAACCTTACATATCCACCACACTTTTGCGCTACATCGAAGAGCCGTAGAGTCGCCACGGATCTCTACCCTACTCAACTTTCCGTTTTACGGATAATAACTGAGATCGTCGTTAATAATAATCTAAAAACCAATATTAGCCATTATCCATCCAAAGGGGCCATTTACATCAGCACCAACCACGATATCTTTATATTTGGCTTCAATAGGCTAGCTCGCTGGTATCTTACCGAACACCGCTACACAGCACCCCCCATGGTCGGCTGTGAGAATTTCGGGTGGAGATCGCCGAGTTTGTCACAGTCACAGTGCCAAGGCCTGCGGCAGATCATGTTGTTTAATATGATTGATTGCTCGTTACTGAAGGATGGATGCCATCGTACCCCCGACTGGTGAGAAATCTTATGTGTTATATTGCTGCTGTTTTATCGACTTCCTGAACGCCCCCGACGGCTTTCAACCTTGGACCCACTAGACTGAAGACGAGCGATGACTGACTCGAAGTTTTCTAGTGTTGTCAAGTGCGAAGCAATGGATTACTATAATACTTGGTATGATAGTACGATCTTCTCAAGTGTCCAGAGATTTCTTTGTGCTGTGCTGGATGAAGACATTGTGAACGGCTTTGCTATGTACCTGAACATACTCGAAATGAGCGAGCGTTCGATACGAGAAGGGGAAAACTATAGCGAGATTATCCACTCGACTTACCATGCCTTTTCTTATATAAGACGGGCATATTACGCAAACATATGAAATAAAAATAAAGACCTTTAATAAAAGCTATTTTAATTAATTCTAATCCATTTTATATATTAATTTTAACTATTTGGGTAAAAAAGTATAAAGCATTATTAAAGAAAAACAATAAGTTAAAAATTATCTTAAGTTTATAAAAAGACTATTAAAGGATACTTTATTTTTATAAACTCCTATAATTACTATTACTATATAACCTTTTATAAGTTTAACTTAAAATAAATAATAAATTATATATAAAAATATAATAATAATATTAAGGATAATAATAAAAATTTATTTAATATTTTAAAAATAATATATATATTATATTACTTTAAATTAAATAATTTATCCACCTTTTTTAAATATATAAATATAATTAATATTAAATTTATTTATCTTAATAATAATTTAAATTAAAAGCGTAAATTCTTTTTAAGCTTAAGCTTAACTTTTAATTAAATAAAAAAGCGTTATATAAGTTTATTATTATAAGCTACCACTATTTTTTATTAGGTTTTTTAAGGATTAATATAACCTTAACTTTATAAAAAATAAATTATATAATTATAATAAAAAAGTTAATTAATAACTTAACTTTTAAATTTTAATTTAACTTAATATAATTATAATATTCTTTAAGGTTAATAATATAAATATATAAACTTAAAAAGGTTTTATAAATATTATTAAGTAATATATTAAGCTTAAATAATAATATAAGTTTATTAAAAAAGGATTTTAAAACCTTATAGCTCTTTTTAACTATATTATATATAATAAAGTTATAAGTAATTTAATAAATAAGCTTTATTATAATAAAAGTAATATTTAAATAATATTTATTATAATAAAAGGTTAACCTTTCCCTTAAGTAAATAATAAAAGCTTATTAATTTATATAATTTAATAAAGTAAGTTTTAATAAAGGATTAAGTTAAATAAATAATTATAGATTAAAATAAGGTTAATAAAATATAAGTAAAATAAAATAAAATAACGTAGGGTTAGAATTTTTTACTTTAAAGATAAAGAAAATCAATTTAACATTTAATAATTATTTAACCTTTTTATTAAATAGGAAAAAAAGCTTAAAGGATTTTATATTATTATAATTATTATTTTAACGCTATAAAAATTTAATATCTTTAATTAAAATAAAAAATGAAATATTATAAAAATATAAAAGTTATAGGGCATTAATAAAACTTTCTTTAAATATATTAAAATAAAATAATTAAATAATAATAATATTTTAATAATAAAGATTTTTTAAAAGGCCCTTAAAGAAAATATAATAATTAATTTTTAATAAAGTAATATAATTAAATTTAATACTATATTAAAAGTTATCTTAATAAATAAAGTAAAGAGTATTATAAAATTAAATATAAAAAAGAATTAATAATAATAATTAATAGGTATAAGCTTTTTAAATATAGCATTAAAAGTTAACTATAGGGTTAATTTAAGCTTAAACGCTTTAGGATAAATAAAAAAAACTTATAAATATTATATTCCTCTTTTTATATATATAATAATAATTTTAATACATTACCTTTATTATAGGTTAAGGGGTATTAATATTACTTTTAAGTATTATTTTTATAATAATAATTCTTAAGTAAAATTAATAAATTATATATATATTAAGTATAGATTTATATATAAAATAAAATAAATAAAAATAAAAGTAAATATTTATTATAATTTAAAAAAAGCTTTAATCCTTTAAACGTTAAATAATATTTTAAATATAATAACTATTAATATATTATTAACTTATTAAATTATAAATAAGTTATTAAAATTATTAAATTAAATTTAAGCTTATATTAATTAATAAATATATTATTAAAAACGGAAAAAAAGTAATTAAATATTATAATTAAAGTAAAAAATAATATAAATATATAAAGATTATTAAGTTTAACATTTATAATAAAGGTAAATAATTAAAGGTTACTTTTTATTATTTTTATCTTTTATTTATCTACTCCCTTTTTTTATAAATTATATTTATATTTATATTATTTATTTAATATTATAATATAATTAATAATTACCCCCTTTATTTATTATTAACTTTACTTTATATTACTTAATAAACCCTTTATTTATTTAAAGAATTAATTATAAACGTTAAATAATAATTAAATATATATTTTATTTATTAAATTAATTAAAGTATAAAAGTGGTATAAGCTTAATACCTTATTAACCCTTAAGCATTTTAGCTTTAAGTTAAACTAGCCCCTTAATAATAGGTTAATAGCTATTAAACTTATAATTTTAAATATCTTCTATATATTTATTATTAAAGTAAACCTTAAATACTTCCTTAATTAATCCTTTATTTATTATATTAATTTAACGTTATATAATATTTATAAGCCCCTTATAATTATTATTTCTTATATATTATTTATTTAAATTATACTTTATAATAATTTAATTTAAAAGTTTAAAAGTTATATATTAAATTATATTATATTTAAAGGAATTATTAAAGTAGATTTTAAAATTTTAATTCATTATTATATAAGTTTTATTATAAATAATGTTAAATTATATAAATAAATAATATTAAAAAACCTTATTACTTATATTAATTACTTTAATTAATTTACTTTAAGTTAATTATTATAATATTATATATATTATAAAATATACTTTAACTTTTATATATTTAACTTTAAATTTATTTTTATAAAGTTTATTATTAATTATAATAATAATATTATAATATTTAATAATATAATAATTAAAGTTAAATTTAAATTAAATAATTTTATATAAAGAATTTTATTAAAGGGGAAGTTTATATTTAATAAATATAAATATATAAATTTAATAATTAATTTAATTATATTATTTAATAATTATTATTAAAATAAATATAATATTATTATTATTAAACTTATAAATATTAATGCACCGTTTACTTTATTACCTTTATTATTAAATAGTATTTTAAAATAGTTTAACCCTTAAACCTTAAAACTTAAACCTAAGCACCCCTATTTAAACAATACCTATATTTCATTTATTCTTAATAAAATTAATATTTAAACTTTTAAAGATTTAATATTTATTAATAATAATGTTATAATTTATTTATATTTATTTTAATTTTATAAATTAAAATAATAAACCCTTATTCTTTTTAAGTTTATTTCTTTTACTTAACTTATAAAAGCTAAAAGTAATAAAAGTATCTTTATTATATTTATTAATATTTAAAATTATTTAATAAATTAATTATAAATATAAACTATTAAGGAAAAGGGGTTTATTTTATTTATAATTATTATTATTATATAAAAAGTAAATTAATATATTATTTTAATAATAAAATTATATATTATAATTAATATATAATTTAAAAAGGATTTATTTAATTAAATAACTTTTATTAAATTATTCTTATAATATAAATACTTTTTTTTATTAATAATTAATTAATTAATTTACCTTTACCTTATTTCTTTATAATTTATTATATTATTATAAATATTTATCTCTTTTTTATATATATAAATACTTTAATAAGTTATTTTAAAATATAAATATATTATTAAGCTTAATATAATATAAAGTAATAGCTTAATCTTTAAATAGTTATATTAATATAATTTTAAAAATAAAGTATATACTTTATATAATAAAAAGAAAAGTAAAGAAGTTATTTATTATTAAATATTTATTAAAAGAACTACCTTATTAATATATATAGATTATTAATATATTTAGCCTTAACTATAGCAGTGGCGAAGTCTG